CCCAGGAACAGCTGGATGTGCCCCAGGAACACCTGGATACCCTCAGGAACACCTGGATCTGCCCCAGGAACACCTGGATACCCCCAGGAACACCTGGATACCCTCAGGAACACCTGGATGTGCCCCAGGAACACCTGGATACCCCCAGGAACACCTGGATACCCCCAGAAACACCTGGATGTGCCCCAGGAACACCTGGATACCCTTAGGAACACCTGGATGCCCCTGGGAATTCCCAAATCCCGTTTTTCCCATGGAATTTCACCTGACGGCGTGGGCGATGTCCCAGTTGGCCTCCAGGGTCAGGGGTCCCTCCAGCTCCACCCCCTTCTCCGTCACCACGGCAACCTCGTACTGCGGGAAAAACACGGAATTCCTCAATTCCCACCCGGAATTCCGCGGGAAAAACCTGGAATTCCTCAATTCCCACCCGGAATTCCGCGGGAAAAACCTGGAATTCCTCAATTCCCAACCCAGAATTCCGCGGGAAAACCTGGAATTCCTCAATTCCCAACCCGGAATTCCTCAAATTCCCACCCGGAATTCTGCGGGAAAAACCTGGAATTCCTCAATTCCCACCCGGAATTCCGCGGGAAAAACCCTGGAATTCCTCAATTCCCAACCCAGACTTCCATGGGAAAAAACACCGGGAATTCCATGGGGAAAAAACTCTGGAATTCCTCAATTCCAGACCCCGAACTCCACAGGAAGAACCCTGGAATTCCTCAATCCTGACCCGGAATTCTGCAGGAAAAACTCCCAGAAATTCCATGGGGAAAAGCCCGGAATTCCTCAATTCCGAACCCGGAATTCTGTGGGAAAAAGCACCGGAAATTCCACGGGGAAAAACCCCGGAATTCCTCAATCCCAACCCTGGAATTCCACGGGAAAAAAAACCACAGAATTCCATGGGAAAAACCCTGGAATCCCTCAATCCCAACCCTGGAATTCCACGGGAAAAAAACATCAGCATTTGGGGATGGATCCCATGGATTGGGGGATGGATTTGGGATGGATTCCCGGGATTTTGGGATGGATTTGGGATGGATTCCCGGGATTTTGGGATGGATTCCCGGGATTTTGGG